AAAAAAAAAAAAAAAAAAAATAGTGAAAACAATTTCAAATTAATATTTAAAACTATATAGCAGAGATTTCTGATATAAAATCGATAAACAATTTTGTGCAGTAATATTATTACTTTATCTCAAACGCATAAAAAGTCGTTGTTTTACCAATGCAGCGTGTTATGATCTAATTAATAGTATTTGGTGTAATAGAAAAATAGTAAAAACTATAAGGTTATTTCAAATTAAGAATGACATTTACAATAAAAAATTTAAAGACTCTGTCATTGAAATTATAATTGTGGACTCTCAGAATTGTTTAAAATGCCATAAGTTAGTATGTGTGAATGCATTAATTTGTAGTTCATATTAAGATATATAATCTCGACACTTTTGGCAAATTTTTAATTAAAAATCAATAAAGCATTGTAATTGGTTCAAAGTAATCGCAACTATTGTGAGGTACAATAGTATAATGTTGAATATGTAGTTTCAGTCACTTAATACGATAAAATATAAACCTCCAAATATCGAAAATTCGGCAAAAAAGAGCAAAAAAGCTTCAATGATTCAAAAAAGCATAATTTTTATGAAGTCTTTATATTAATTAATCGAAAGTTAATATAACTTAGAACTTTAATATTTATAATAATTAAGTCTAGATAATTATAATTATCACCTATAATATGTATTATGTAATAACTTTTATACATGTACGTGTATTTAACAAAAAATTAAAAAAATATTGAAATACCACAAAATAATTTATTGAATATATATATATCCATTTGTTTGTGAATTATTTCCACGGGTGATGATTATTTTTTGTTATGATGAATATATAAAAACACTGTTTTTAATTACAGTACTATTTATTCAACATGTTTCGTATAAAGGGGTCAAGTCATTCAATTGGAAATTTTCCATTTAGTTTAATGTTATCCATGTTGTTTCCATAGGCAAAAAGTTATTAATGCGATTTGAATTTGATTAGTCACATTTATCACCGGATTTAAATATTTCGCGTCTTTTGATCTCCACAAAAAATTAATAATTATGACTTGATCGCCATTTCACAAAATCATCCTTATATTTTATATTAAGATTGAGATTTTTACAAGTAATTATAAATTAAACTATTCGTATATTCGCAAAAATTTGTCGAGGTAGGATAAGTTGAATGAAGATGTTCTTTTATACTATATAAATTATAACTAATAAGATATTTTATATTTTGTAATATAAAACTTAGTAGTAAATTAATTAATAGTATTTAATATAATTAAATTCAATTAATTATGGTATCATATAAGTATCATTAGATTTGTAAAGTTTTCTTATAATCTTAGATTAACTAGCAAAAGCTATTTTGTTAGAATGGATATGGAGAAAAATATTCAATTAATAGAATTATTACGATTCGTTAACTCGTGAAAGAAGAAATTAGGGGTAATGTATTATTAGAAACTAACCGTAAAAACATCCTCGATTGAGACCATTATTTCTAGTTTTAATCTCACGATAGAGTTAAAAAAATAAAATCTATAAAGAAGAAAATAAGGATTCCATCAGTTGATAAAATCCAACTTGTGTTGTGGTTGTTCTGTACGAGGGTTGATAAGTTTGTAGCGTATTATACAACGTTATAAACATATTACATTGGAAACATTAGGAAGGTGTTTAGAGTGGCGGGACCAGAAGCTTATGACAAAATTAATAACTTTTCGGGACACCGGTCACGAGCCGCAGGGTTTCCCGTGTTTGACACGTTGTTATACGGTGGTGTTGGCTGGAGTAAGGTGAAGAGTGGCCGGTCTTGGCAGGGTTGACACGCCCATGGACCAACACACAGACTACGGTCGTTTTGAGAGAACCGCCCCGACGACTTAGTAACACTCCATAATATCTCACCACTGCCGGGAACTATTCGCTTTTTGGCCCTGTTAACAGTCAAACGCTTTTTACAATCGGTCACTGTTGCAGCTTTTATCATCGTAGCCCCACAAGTGAGTCAATTTGTTATACTGCTATCAGTTTGCAAAACTAAGTCATGTTAAATTTTTTGACCAATAATTTATTGTTTCTATTTTATGAATTTTAGACATTTATCGTCAATAAACGAACACATTGACAAGCCCCAAAGTCATAATTTATTTATTCAAAATATTATTTCTTCGTCAATTATTCACTATCAGACTTATTGAGTAGCCGCAACATGATTTGACGTGCAGATAATGGGCACAGGTAATTTATTTAACTTATTTATGAATTATTAATATCGTTAGTGATTATAATACAATAGTGTTGGTTCAAAAAGATTATTAATGACTTGTGTACTTAACGAAATGATAAAATTACTTGCGAGGTTTACGTTATTTTTAAATTTAAGTCAATACTTTTTGTAATAAATATTACGTTTAAAGTTGAATGAAAATAATTAAAGTAATTATAAATAAAGTGTCGTTTTAGTTTGGGTTACAGATGATATTATTTATGATATATATTTATATGATATGATAATATTTCGATGATTTGGGATTAAAAAAGTTTACTATACTATGTATATTGTGTCATTATTCAATAATGTTGTATTCATAAAAATTTAAGTTGCCAAAAAATATAGTTAAAATAAATACTCATACTACTAGCGACCTTTTGAGTTACAGTAAGCTTATTGAGTTTTAATTTAAACATTTATTTTGTAACGATTGACTTCTAAACTAGTTAATTTTTAATTTTAATTGATGTGGCTTTAGAAAATAATTAATTTATAAAATAACTAAATTGTCTACGTATAATTCAAATGAAATAGGATATAATTAAATTAATGTAATCATCGATTTAATTATAGTAATGACAAACAATATTGTTTGTCATTATTAAAGAAATATAAAAATTTGAAGAAAATATTGTGTCTTTTAACGTAAAGAAGAAAGTCTCGGTGTAAAATAAACTAACAATAGAATTTAGGGGTTGTTTTAAGTGACATATGATGAAAACCGATTTATTAAAGAGGCAAATTTCTAAAGCAGTTTAAAAAACAATTACTCACGATCAAACAATATTGTATAATTATATCCTGTGGTATGTAAAAACATATAATTTTTTAATAACACGAGTGTTAAAAATCTAGTTTTTTTTCTTAAAATATTACACAGATAGATATATTATTAATTACTCATTTTTAACAAAAATTCTATTTTAGTTAGCGTGTGAATTATTTATCAGTTAAAACAAACACTTTTAAATTTCAATCATTTTTGACACTTGATGTCTCAATAAATCAAATCACTTAAGACATTTCGTGTAATACAGTGGACCTGCTCATAAATTTAATTTCAGATTAAAATCTCCATTTACGTTTTCCGAGTATTTTTCTACTAAAAACATTAAGTTGGATTAAAAACAAATATTGGCAACCAATATTGTAATGTATTTTATAGTCTGAGTGAAAAGTTTGTAAGAGAAAATGTGTTCTTTATACACATGTACCCATTTTATACATAATATTATTTGATCCGTTGGCAAATATACATTGGTGGAGTCTTAAAGTGGTCGCGGCACTGTTGTTTTGTGGCTTAATGTGAATTCGTTTTTAAAAGGATTGAGAGCGCTGCATTATCGTTCTATAATCTCCGATATTAAAAAGTTTTGTTGACCTTTTTACCGTTGTATCTCGTAACCGTAAGCCTTTCTTTTCGATTGAACTCAAAAAGCCCGAAGAAGATTATGGGCCGCCTGGTCGCACGATTTAAGCGAACAATAAAAGGCGAAGGGTGTGGAAAAAATGAAATGGTGAAAACTTTAACCGATCACTGAGTTCAAGAAAGCCTATAAAGAAACGTTTTACTTTTTTTTACGATAAATAATAAATATACGAAGGATATAAAAAAAAAGTTTTATTGTGATCAATTATTACTCGGTACTGTTAAGGTTCTTTAAAATGATATTGTTCCCTACATTGGAAATATCTCTAAATGAAATTGCCCTCCATAAATGTTTAACTGTGTTCGAAATATTGCCATTACAAAGACATCGCTCACAAAGACTTACAATTAAATCGCTGTAAGGCTTAATCTATTGGCGTTTTCATTGCGTACTAGTCAAGTAACAAGAAACACATGAGATTCCCTGACTTAGTGATTCATCCGTACAATGTTACGGCATAGTCACGACTCGTGCAGAAAATATTCTCATTACTAGATTTTCTGTTCATAAATGAGAAAATAAATGCAAAAATGGACAATTCCAGGGCAGAAGTTATGTTTAAGAGCTTCAAGTGTTGACAACTAGCTACGGTTTTTGTTACCCACAACTTATTACGAGTGGCTTTGTATAATCCATTTGTGTCGTATAATATTATCACAGAGTTTGTCTTGTATTCAACGGCAATCTTGATACACAGCAATCGGTTTAAACTTTGCGTGGTATAATTTGAAAGCCGCAGGCAATAACAGCTGTGTGTGGATCGGAAAGTAAAGCTTAGGTTTTCACAACACAGTAACGATGATTTTTACGTGGCGTGCCCTGAGGTGTGTATGGAGCTCTGTTCAAATGCATTTGTCACATTGATCTCGAGGGCACACGACGCGAACATTATACACCTAATTTTACGGTGTGCTGTACGCGTTTGTCTGGAAAACGACCGCGTCGAGGGTGGTATTTACTGCTCATCGACAATGCGAGAAGCCGCGACGTTGTTACGAAGTTAAGCAGTGCTTCGGTTATGCAAGTCGATGGGGTAGGTGACAAAGAACTAAAGTAGTAGAGCGAGGGTGCCAGAAATAGTTTTGACGCTCGCGATAAGCGGCTTTTGAAACAAGCTCATTAATAAACCACATACCGCATATAGGCCAAAGCTCAACTTTCCAGCAAACGACTGTAAGCATTATAAATTAGTTGAAGACGACGGTACCAATAGTAAGTGTAACGTGTACCTGCATCAAGTGTATTTAACCGGGGACAGTGGGACAGGTATATGTGTGTGCGGAAGTAACAAAGAGGCTGTTGTATTCGCTCGATCGCGTCCCTCTAATATTCATTCATGTCAATTATATGCATAATCAATAATATGCCAATTCTAAATAGAGCCTTTTAAATTTAAAGGTTCTATATATTAATATAAAATATATTTAATACAAATATTTATTAATTGTATAATGACTCTAATAATAAGTACAATGAAATATAAGTAAAGAATCAGTTTTTATTTTTGCCCCTTAACTATTTACGAATACATAAAAGATTAGTGAGAGATTAACAAATATAAAACTAATTTTTTGGCCTATATTTAATTATTTAAGGAGCAAAATTAAAAACTAATCTTTTGCTTATGTTTAAATATTAAGTTTTGTTATTACCCAATAATAAACAGAAAAATTATTATATTTATTTCGTTTAATTTTATAGGTGATCGACTGTTAGACATCCCATGCAAAGTGTGTGGAGATAGAAGTTCCGGCAAACATTACGGCATATATAGTTGCGACGGTAAACTAGCTTACTAAACATTTTTTAATTTTAACATCAATATTGGAACTAAAATTGATTTTTAATCTCTTATGGATGTTTTCGTTTCATTAGGTTGTTCGGGGTTTTTCAAAAGAAGTATACACAGAAATAGGGTCTACACTTGCAAAGCTCAGGGTGAACTTAAAGGCAGGTGTCCCATAGACAAGACGCACAGGAATCAGTGTCGAGCTTGTCGGCTTAACAAGTGTTTTCAGTCTGCTATGAACAAGGACGGTAAGTTGTACACTAATTGTTAAATATCATTTCCCCAAAATTAGCGTTAAAACTTCTGAATCTTTCTCAAAAAATGAAATAATTGTTTAGATAGAACATAGAAAATATATAAAGTAATTCTTAAATAAAACATTTGAAAATTAATTTTTAGTTGGCAACTTACAAAAGAACAACAGAATTTATCTACAAATTAATTTTTTTTTAATTTAAATATTTTTAAAACTATTAACCTATATCCCTAATGGTTTATCACACCTAATTTCTTATAACACTCACAACTTCATAGTTATTTACTCATTTTTGCATAAAAAAAAAACGTAGAAACACTTAGTGTTAAAGCACGTTGAGAATATACCACAAAAGTGACATCGTAAACAAAAATTGTTAATTTTATGCGAATACACGATTTGGTGGTGTCATCGTGACTAAACATAAAATTAGAGGTACCGCAAAGAGTTTGCTTTGGAATTTAACGCAACCAGCGCTTTGCAAAGTGAACAAACTACATTTTGGTTCTACTTGACAACCCTTTACGCTTTGATGGTCGACGATGCCGGTTGTTCATACAACACATTTAGGCAAGAAATTATGTTATATTAGTCGAGCAATCATTTTTAACAACCCCTTGCGATTCAACAATGTATTATTCAAAACATTATATTGATATTTAGGTCATATCCTTATAAATTAATATAAGCAATGTGCGTACGCTTGAATTTACCATAAAAACCATATTTTAAAACACAATTTTTTTTTATAACTCACACGAAAAACCAACATTTTATCAAAACGAGTTATCTTTGGTAATACATTAGTTATCAATTTTTAAAGCGTTTTTCAAAAAAAATTTGAACAGACATTAAAATGTAACTCGGCAAAGTGTGCTTTCTGATCCATTATGAACTTAAGCTGTGACAGCTCGTTAGAGGTTATCATGCTGGTCGCATTCGAGTCTGCCCGTAAATTTTTCTCTTTCCTTAATTACTCTCTGGCGTTAAATAATTACCTGCCCCTCACACGAACAAAACGTCCGGTTTATAATGTCGTTAGCGAAAATACTTGAATCACGCCACTGCCTTTTCCTCTTTCAACAGCCACTCTATCTTATACCACCCAAATCGTGTACCCAGCGTTTCGATTTTTCGGTGCTCATAATACATATTGTTGTATTGGACGGTGTTTCATCGTTGTATTGTCTTATCAGGCCACGGCATCCGTTTTGATAAATGATGCCGCGTTTACTGGCAAAAGCTATACACGTAATATAAATGTTACACGAAAAAAGAGGCAAGGTGCGTGTGGCAACTTCTCATTTCAATTTCTCCGTTGCTTCGACACCAAACCAATCGGCCCGCACAGGTCACCCCTCCGTAAATAATACGTGTGTATGTTGCCCTTGTCTGTGCGAGTTTCCAACAGCTGATGTAGTCGGATTAAGTGACTTACCAACAACGGGAAAAACAAGTGTAAAATAGACGTGACGATCCGAAATCGAGGGTTCGAAGGGTCGACGAGTCATTGGAAAATTGAAAGGAGAGTATTTTCAAGTGTGAGGTACATAATGTTTGTGCAATTAGTATATCGTATGGTTCATACGTAACCATTTATTTGTAATCCAGTAAAATTCCATTAGCTTAGATTAAGTTGGTTACATATTTTAGTATATCGCGGAATCTTCGAGCAGGATATACACAATCTTAGATAAATAAAAAACTAACAAAGATGATATTTATCTAATTTTATGTTTAGTTAACAATTAAAAATTCATCTAGATCGAAAAATGATCAAATTATTTCATTTATATTACTCAAATGACCGTCTTGTAGATTATTAAATACTTTTCAAAACAACGAAAAGTTAGATTGATAATTATAAACAAAGTTATATTGATAAATATGCAAATATCAATGCCCGTATTCTACTTAATTACTATTTTAATGCATCAGTGACTCGGGCTCGTTAGCTAAAACAATATTCACATTACAAGAATGTGCACCGATCATCAAAGTTAGAAGTGCAATGCTTTTATTGATACTATGGGATGAATATAAAGGTTACTATGGATGATACGGGTTGTTTCTTCCAGTTAAACATAAAAATAAAAACGTCTGGGTCACCAGTTTTGCTATTCGTAAAGCAAATAAACTTTAGTTTATAGATTTGTCGTCGTTTTACTTTCCATCGATTCATCGACACCGCACAATGTTATTCATATAGTCTCAGTATCTGAAATAAAAGTACTTTACACAAAGTATAATGACACAGAAATAAATAAAAGTGTTTGTCCGCATGCTAATTTAACGGCGGGAGACAAAATAAAAGCTTTTTTGAATGATTTTGGAGTTATTATTATTATTATTATTTATTGGTTTACATTTCCATGCTGGTGGTGTACTCCAATATAACAATGGAGAGAGAGAGAGACAGTTTTTCAATCAGCAGTAAATATCCACGAACAATGCGCTAAGACCGTCTATAATGTGTATATACATTATACACGTTATTACAACCTCATGATAAATTGTAGTTGTCCCGGTAGTTTGATTGTATTTTATTTGTAAATGCTAGTGAAAGCTCAATACTTTTATAATATCAATACGTTTTTTTACACCTTCCAATGCAGAATATAAAATGGATTTATCCCAATTCACATTATGTTCCTTTGTGCGTATAAAAAATCAAAAGGGATGTATAAAAATGGATTATGAACATTTTGTTAAATCGCGTTGATTATTTGAAATACAACAGTACAACGTGATTTTTGAACTTTTAATAACGTATCACGATTTTTACACTTAAAGTTAAAAACACTGATTAGTAGCTTTACCTAATATCATAATATTTTATTTTTATGAAGTCAGGGGTATATTTATGAAACTTATGCCCTTCAATCTCTTCCAGAAATTAACGCGACCATCGTTTTTTTTATCAAAAATATTGCTTTTTAACGAACAAAAGAAAACATTTTCTCCACTCTCTCTTTGAACATTTTTTTGTTAAATACGTGTCTGAACGAAATTATTATGTACGAATATTTATCTATTTTGATTAATTAAAGCTGTTCAACACGAAAGAGGACCAAGAAAACCAAAGTTACATCATCACCACCACCACCATCATCATTTACAATCCTTAAAAGAAAATTCACAATCTGGTGGAAATCAAAGAAATATCCCTACGATTCAACTGAGTAATGAACAAAATATTATGCAAAAAACTTCAATAGGGTATCCAAAACCATCCCCCATAGAGGCATCTCTTCTTCCAGTTCCGTCTCAACATCAACATCCACCACCAACACCATTACCGCCACCCCCACCTACCATGTTACCAACAACCCCACCACAGTCAGGGCACGTATTCGTTGGACAGCAGCCACCACCTCCTCCAGGGCTTTTACAAATACTCATGTCAGCCGAGAAATGCCAAGTAAGTTTAATAGAATAATATCCACATCGTAAATTAGTTTTATTCAAACTAGAATTTTATAATTTTATTTTATTGACAAAATTATTGTAATCAAACAATTATAAACATTTTCAATTCTGTTAAGTGATTCACTAAATTCAAAAATCTAATAAACATAATTAAAAAATATCTTAAACGACTAAGTTATTTGAAGGAAGAATTTAGTGTTAGATTCTATGATTATACAGTTAAACGTGGCAGTCTTTGAAGCTTTTTTGATTCACGCCTTTTTTTGACCAACTATACTTGTGACGATGCACACGATAAAGGCCGGAGTACCGATAACGACCAAGATGAGTCAGTGCCAGCACCCGGACGTTTTGATGTGAGAACCGGACCACATGGTCCATGGGTTTTAGAAATCGAACCCTTTGTTCACCACGTCAGAGACGCCCTCTGGCTTTACCATATTATAAACGTTAACGTGCATGTATAGATTTCGTATAATGTGTACGTCGCGAGAGACAAGTGAGGATACGGGCTTAAGTTCGACTTTAATCGTTAACAACTCTAATATTCATCGGTCGATGGGATAAAAGGGGACTGAAACGTTCAAAGATGACGTGAGGGGAGATCGGATGTAACAATGTTTGGTAAAGGGACAACGTATGACGTACACTATAACTATTTCGACCATTCTGACTTTTAAATTTGAAGGTTTTTTAAAAGTGACTCTTATGTTTTCACTCTTAACGGTCCATTGAGGGCTCCTTCAAAGTGGTTTCTTAACCCTTTATACTCTCAAGGACGTTTTTAGAGATTAGGCGGCATCCAAGGTTAACTTTTAATGCCACTCCTTATACTCCTCCATAAAAACAAAATTAATGTTACAACTTGTTTATTGAAATCTTCAAAAATGAAAAGTATTAAATATTGTTTAATAAATAACATTCAATTAAAATATGACATTACCTTCAAAAAATTGCAATTGTATTAAAAGTATTCATATATTTTAATTGATGGCGGTTGTTGCAACAATTCTAGAAATCCTAACAAATGTGTCAGCCTGTGGTGATTTCCCTCGTTGCCCTTCCCAAGGATGGTTAGTCGTCGGAAAGAGAGATTCTTTATGGTGTGAATTTCAGAGATAGATATTTTCGGTTTTTCTATTTTGTTGACAAATAAAAGCGTCGATATACTTAAAAAAAATCAAAACGCCCGCGGCCATTGAAAAATCAGCAGCTGAAACTCTGTAGGGCCAACACTTCACCTTACCTAATAATATTTCCGTCGCCCGTTGTGTGACGATTGCCATCTTATGAAAATTGAAAACCTACGAACAAAACTTCATTTAACACATACCAGTTTGATAAAACTTTATGAAACTTACAAGCTTTTTCATTTTAAGGAGTTAATTTGGAGCGCAAAGATGTCAGAAGCGTCGTCGCCTTTAGGCATACCACAATCCAACAGCCCCACGAGTTCCTTAACGCTGTCACTATCGCCCACTTGGGAAGTTTTACAGGTAACGAATTCATTTTATATTATTTTTAATATTAAGTTATCAAAAAACTCAATTGTATAGTCTCGGAGCATTTTTAAAATTTGCGAATAGTAAAGTATCGACTAAGAAAAATATCCCTTTTATTTAAAAATTAAACAAACATTTAGAGATAATATAATCACATTTTACAGGGATACTTTGAACAGTATTGGAATATATTGTGAAACATGAATTTTCAAAATAAGATCTATATAATTAATAAATAGTTTAAAGTAAAGAATGTAATGTAAAGGTCGTACTGATGTATCTCATGTATGTACACATTATGCGACAAGGAGGGTTGACTTTTCGACTGCCCGCCTACTTTTCTGCGGGTGGCAAAAGGTGGGCCGTTTATCCAATGGCTTGTATTTAGGATTAAAAATGGCGAACTCCAAAACAAAATAACGAGAACGGAGTACTACAAAAAAATTAATTCACGTCATATACGATAAATACCTGTTGATGTAGTAAATGTATTGCGTTTCTAAAACAATTCCACAATTGCAGAAAGCGTCAAAAAAACAATTGTGCATTTAGAAAAAAAAACGTATTGTTAAAGAACTTTGGCTTTGACTGGGCCCGAACATTTTTTACAGTTGATTAAAAAAAATAAACCTGTATAAATGTTTTCAATTTTCAAGCACTCGTTAATCAATATATTCGTGTTATTTTATGAATTTGGTTATTCATAAATAAACTTTAGAAAAAAAATTCGAATTATTAAACACTTATTATACTACAAAATACTGTGCGTATTTTACTATTTGAACGTTGTGCTTTTTTAGGAAACGACGGCAAGACTTTTATTTATGGCAGTCAGGTGGGTTCGGTGTTTAGCCCCGTTTCAGACTCTTTCAAAACACGACCAGGTTAGGTTTATTTATCTGTTCATTCATCTGTTGTATGTTTAAGTAAAAATATTTAAATATTTTAGCTATTACTGTTGCAAGAATCGTGGAAGGAATTGTTTTTGTTACATTTAGCTCAATGGTCAATACCCTGGGACTTATCGCCGTTGTTGAACTCGGAAAAAGCCCGAGAAAGACTTCCGGTTGATGACCTTAAAGTCAACATCGAAATGAAAATCATACAGGAAATACTTGCGCGTTTCCGACAGTTATCACCTGACGGTAGCGAATGTGGTTGTATGAAAGCAGTCATTCTCTTTACACCCGGTAAGAAAAATAAAAACACACTTCAGCTGTTTATTATTAATTTATAAATAATCAACAGTATTCGCTACTATAATATATAGTAAACTGTCGGTTCGCTCTACTGATATGACTTGTTAAAAAAATGTGACGTGCCACTGTTACATTTTTTACAAGGGTAACCAGGTGAATCCAAGTACTATGAAAGTATTCGTCGTAAGAAAAACGTGTTATGACGTTTCGCAATTGAGATATGACTAAATAAAAACGAAACGAAATCGATTTTATCAAATAACAATAAGTAATGATATTTGAAAAATAAATTAATTAGTATTTACTAAAAAAATGTCTACTCTGCGCGATTTCTTTAGTGAAATTACTTTTAATAAAATTTATTTGGCATCACATAAATGCAGTACATCGAATATCGCGGTTGATGTTTAAAGATTTATGAATTGTATGGCACGCAGAACGTGGCGTAACATGCTGTTTACAAAACGTAGACGAATTTCTCAAGCGACCATAGGTGCGTCCCCGTATTGAAATATGGGGACGGTACGGAAATCAATTGTTTTTCGTGCTGTGGCATCTATTTATTTAAAATATTTTCGGTCATATGGCCAGCGACAAACCGCTTTCGCACAGGCCATTACTTAGATATTACTTGCAATCATCTTCTGAAACCCTAGTACAAATTTACAATTTTTACGATTTACTCGGCAAATATCGTAATGAATATTATCAAAGCGAGACACATATAAACTACTCATAAATTCCTGGTACAATGTTTTCAATAGCTCTGTCGCTTTCTCCTTTACGTCTAAACAAGCGAATTCTCAACTGTTTGGTTGCCTATTCGAAATTATTTTAAGGTTTTTATGTAAATTTTACAATTACATAATATTTCGTCGCCGTTGAAATAAAACTGATGATTTTGCTACATGTTATTTGTTTTTTGACATAATCAAGTCGAAAAGCTGCGTAAAAAATACAATTCATTGAATTGTATCAAAGTATAATTTCTTTCTTTATTTAAAAACCTTATTAACTATGTTTTCAAAAATATTTTTGTGCATATAAAAAAACAGTATAAATCGTTTGTTATGAAAAACGTCTAGCAATTGTTCCTCTTCGTGCGAATTCAATGATTTCATTATACGTATTAATTACTAAGACATCCATATATGAATGTTTTAATTTTATTGACATTCACAATAAAATTTATTTTTAGAAACACCTGGATTAATTGACGCTCAGCCGGTGGAAATGTTACAAGATCAAGCGCAATGCATTCTTGGTGACTATGTACGAGGTCGATATTCGAGACAACCAACTCGGTTCGGACGACTGCTTTTGATGTTACCCAATCTTAGGGCCGTTAGACAATCGACTATAGAAAGACTATTCTTCAAAGAAACCATAGGCGATATACCCATTCAAAGACTTTTAGGCGATATGTACCACATGGAGAAGTCGTACGCATAAATCGCCAGTGAGAGCAAGAAAGAACACAAATTGCAATCCGAAATTATTTACTACTTTTAGAGAATTATAAAATTATTACTGGGCTCCTTCCTTTTTTCGTTTAATTAAAAAAAAAAGTATTGGATTAAAACTTGGTGAATTAGTTTTGTTTGTAAAATTAAATACATTTTTAATGTAAAAATTATACTAAAAAAAAATGTATTTTCAAAAAAACTTTCAAAATATGAATTACCCCAAGTCACATTATAATATGAAAAGATTAATTTGTTATGTTTTGTACATATTGAGTTACCATTTAAAAATACAATGCTGGAGATGCCAAAGAGAGTCATTGTTAAAAATTCTAGTCACAAAATTTTTATGCACATATAATTAATCTATTTGAAAAATTGCCAACAGTGCAATGTTTTTAGGAAATCATTTTTTAATTGTTTAACTGTAATTAAAAATAGTTTTGCTTTTAGATGTATTAATAAATCAAAATATAAAAGATTATTCATTAATATTAATATTTCTCAAATTATAATACTCAAAAAGTAATTCATATAAATACTAGTCATTAAGTTTAATTTAAATTCAAAGAAAAGTAATTGTAACTTAAAATAAATATTATTAAAAAAAGATTGTGTACTATTTTTTACTAATACAAATTAAAACTTGGAAGTTTTAGATTTACAATTATAATTTTTAAAATAGAATGTTGATTCAATATTAAAAGGTAAAAATTTATATATTGTTAAAACTCGACCAACCATATAATTTTGTATAGAACATGGAGTCTTAGTATACAGTAATTGAAGTTTTATACTGTATATTAAAACTATATAACTTTCCTTATCCTCTTTTAGGAGTGGATGAAGTGCATGAAAAAATAGATAAGCTATAAACAGTTTCTTTTCAGGGGTTCAAACAAAATGTAATATGTCAACACTATGAGATACAGTTGTTATTATTTTAACACTGCGCCTTTAAAATGTCTAAAATTCACTCGTATCTTTATACATAAACTTCTTCAAAATAAAAAATTGAGGATATAATTTAAGGATATAGTTATACAAATAACATTTCAGAAAAATTGCATCTTTAATCACAATTTTATTAATATTTTAAGCTATTTTACAAAAAAAAAAAAAAACCTCACAAGTCTTAATTATAATAAAGGAAATACATTCTAAATTCAATAAAAATATATTTTACACAACAGGTTGAATAATGAGAAATTTTCTTAAAAATCATTTTTTCAATAAAATATCAAAACTTCAATTAAATCATATTCATTTAATTAATACAAAATAAAAGTACTTCAAGATTGTAACACTTTTAATATTTAAGAAACTCATAAATCATCAAGATCGACACTTTCAACACAACTTATATCAGTATGGCCTTTGTTTTTTGAATCGTTTAATGTACTATTTGATGAAATATTTATTTTTGGATATTCCAATCGGCCCCATGACACTGCTTCAGCTTTTTTCAATTTTATTTCTACTTTAGTAGGTAACATAGATACAACACTGCTGTCAACATCTACAATCTAAAATTACAGTAAATAAATAAACAAAAAAATTGTATTATAAAATAACAGAATTATAAAAGTAAATTTAATACAAGATATTTTTTTTTAATACTAATGACAAATCAGCTTTTATTCAATTTAATTAATTGATAAATTAATAATTATGATGCAGACAAAAAATTAACTTAACTTATATTTTATAATACATTTTTTTAGAGTTTTATTTTTTTCCAAATAAAATAATATAAAATGTTTATATTAATTCGTTATATAATGAATAAATTAATAATTTCATGAACTCTTGATTATTCTCATTTGAGTTAAGAGTGCTTTTAAATAACAATGTCAAACAAATAATAAAGCATACACACTTTATATTACTAAAAATATTTAAAAAGTGTCTTGTATTAAAATTAATAATAAGTAATTTAATAAATATTCTAAAATTACTCCATATAGTTCCATAAATTTTGAAAAGACTGAATTTTCTGAAGGGAAAAATAGTTCAATGGATAATTCAATTGGGGATAATTTCACAACTGATTTATTTGGATTATATTTTTTGGCAAATATGGAAACTACTACCCATGGACCAGTTTGATGCCAATCAAGACGACAAGTCATCTGTCCTTGAGTTTTCTAAAATTTAACATTATTACATTTAACATTTATAGAAATCAATAGATATAAAAAAACTAATACAGTATCTTTAACCCAACAATGTTCTCCTTGAGAACAACCAGCTTGTTCCAAAAATACATTAAAATCTGAAGTTTTTTTATTACAGCATGACCAAAACTTCATTCCTTCATGAAAAATAGGGACACCAGGGTGATGATTACATTCATTGCTCTTTCCAGCACCTTCATATGCCTTTATATATATACATATATATAAAAATGTGCATTAAAATATTAGTTTTGTATTTGTGTTTTACTTGTTTACAGCCATTGTTCTTGCACATAGTACCAATAATGATATCTTTTGAATTAACAGAATCATTTTCATTACTATCATCTATACTAACTAAAGCCATTTGTTGCAATAAATTTGGTGATATTATTGGTATTAAAGATATCATTGAGGAACCAACTGGCGGTCTAGTTAGCAATATAGGTTTTGGAGCATGATATTCAAATATTTCTTCTTTAGCATTTTTTTCAGGAACATATTTTTCAGGCTCCCTAGGCTTATTACCATTGTGACATCCTTTTGTACAACCCTATAAACATTGTAAACCTTTATTATAGATAAATTAATAATGAGCAGTAGATCAATTTGATAAATACTTTAATATTGAGGAACTCAGTAAAATCTGTGCATTTTTTCTTACAACAACTCCAACCTTTGTAAGCATCATGGAAAAAGGGTTCACCAGGATGAAAAGTACATGAGCCTAAAGTTTAAATAAGTTGAATAATATTTATAATTTATAATACCCAATAACATTTTGATAGAATATGCTTAAATAAAATATCATTAACTATAAATTTAAAAAAAACATCCATATCTCATAGGTTTATGAAAATCATGTTTCTTTTAAGGAAATAACTTTCAGTTGATAAAAATGTCATCTGCTATTAACAATTTTTGGCTATTATATACGTCAAAAATTAATAATAATTTAAAATAAAAATTTAATTTTTAATAGAGTAAAAATATAGAATTACAAATTTGACATTTAAATTGAGTCTAACTTATAGTAGTTAATTTTCGCAACTTCAATATTTATATAATTTAGGTAGGATTAAAGAAATTAAAATTATATTATAATAACAATTATTTTGTAAGAATAATAGTAATAAATTAATTAACATAATGTAAAGCAAAAATCTTATACAATTTTATTTGATTAATCATAATATCATGACATTACCTTCCGGGTTATTAGTAGGGTCAAACTTATCAGCACATCCACGATTATAACACAATACTAAATCACTGTTTTCTGGCATTTTATACAATTTAATTTAAAGTTAGTTCTATGAGCTAATGACAAACTTATTGAAATTAAATGTTCGAAGTTCGCTAACGATGGAAATTATATTTTAGAAAAAATGTGACTGATAAGGTTAACATATATTTGATAATAAAACAGTTTGATCAATAGAAAAATATTAAAAATCTTTTCGTTTTAATTTAGAAAAATGAACACAATTTTTTTTTTTGTTAATTTAATGTCATTTATTAATACAAATTTTTTAAAATAAAAATACACTTGAATAACAAAGAAACAAATATTTATTTCTGTTTAACATTATTAAGAATAGAACTAAGAAAATATAAATCTGTACTAATTTAATATTAGAGAAACTTTAATATATATATGTAACAATTTTAATCTTCAACAATAAGTAACAAAACTATTAAATTTACAATTTAACATTGCTTTATACTTCTTTTAATCACAATTAAGTAGTAGAATAATTTACTTTTCTGTAAAAAAAATATTTAGAACTTTTTATATTTTAGGTATAAAAAAACAGAATAGAAAGAAAAATTTTTATACATACTTTGACTCATTGGAATTTAAGCAAAGCTTGTCTACTGATGGAAAATTGTTTCCGCTACCTACTCTTACAGGACTGTAAAAAAAATTTGATCATTACCATATAAAAAAATTCAATTGTAATTAAGGTTTCTGAAATTATTCAATAGCAAAGACAACTTTTTAAAAAAAAATTAAGATAAACATGTTAATTTATGAAGTAAGGAGTTTTAATTTTTCTTTGATTATATAACTCGATTATTTATAATAGGAGATTAATTCAAAAAATTAAAATTTAGAAAAACTAAAAAATTATATTTTTTATACAAAATTTTACATTTAACTATTATTTTTAAGCTTTTAAAAGGTTTTGAAAACTTTTCTTCTATGAATAATTGGCCTCTAAAGTCAAAAAACACGTAACTTTTGGTGAATATTATGTTAATTTTTTTTTATATATGCATTAAAGCCTTTTTAAAAAAGTTATTTTATCATTGCCATGTATTAATCTATACTTACATAAAAAATGTTTCAACTGTATTAAATTCCCTACTATACTTTTAAAAAATTTTAATGCTGTAGAAACATAAAAATTATAAAAAATTTAATAATTTCTTGTATAATTGTATAAAAAAATTTGATTTTTCAAATTTCTCTTTAACATGTAATAATTTTTAAGATTAGCCTTTCATTTCATAAAAAAAAATTATATAGGCAAATTAATTTAAATTATTAAAAAAAATTTTCTATTTCTTTTAATATTGTAAGTTTTTTAAGGAAACAAATATTTTAATCTTGTCACACAATATAAATTATTTTGAAATTAAATTATGCTGTTATTTAATAAAGTATATGAAAATAATAATTGAAAAAAATATAAACAACCTTTTATACTTAGATGAAGATGCAGGAGAGGCAATTCCAGAAACAGGACTTTCTGAAGACACAGATGCATTAGCTCGAATAGACTGTCTTTTAGTGTGTAAAAAAAAATTTTTTTATTAAATTAAAATTTGTCTATTAAATAAAATTATAACCATTAAAAATAAAATAAAAAAATATTAAACTTATTTTAAGTCATGCTAAATTTAATGTTACCTGAAGTTATTATTCGGTACTTTAAAAGTTACACCAACATTATTATTACGCCTTTTAGCTTCTTCGTCAACAAGTTTAAATGGTGTTGAATTTATTTGAAAAATAGGATTATGTTCCATTGAATTGATTGAAATTGATTGCTGATTATTTTGTAATAAACTTAAAAAAAGTTATCAATTTATACATTAAAAAACTTTTAGATCAGAGGTTTAAAAATTCCAATATCATAAAAAAATTATTTTTCATTATTATTGTGAAAACTATTACATCAAGAAAACCAGTTATAATAATAGCATAGTCTAAGTCATTAAAATACAGTTTTTTTTTTCTAAAAAAACAGAAGCAAGACTAAAAAAATTACACTTTGTAAAAACTGTTTATTCAGATTTATACACTAAATATTAACTTACTTTTTCATATTTTCCAATTGATTTTTAAGTTTTTTTATATATTGTTTAGCTCTATTGTACTTTGATAGCTAAAAATTAAATACTGTATCAATTAAAATCAATTTGTTCAATATTAATCTAAGACAAAAACTAATAGTTAAAATTAAATAACATAATTTCAAAAATAAAAAATATTTTAAATGTGTTTATAATTTTAAAGAANGTCTCATTACTTAATTGTCACACCTCGTACATTTCAATTAGCTAATAAAAATTTACTACAACTTGGTGGTGTTCAAAAAGTCTCTTTTGATGAATTTTCTGAAATTTCATTGATTGTAATAATTTAGTACACATATTTTGTGGGTCTTGAAAATATTCTAACAACTGTTGATTTGATCGAAAAGACTAAAATTAAAGAATATTTAATTAATGCTTAGTATTATATTTTCTATCATAATTATATGATTGTAATAAATTAAAATTTTATTTATAATAATTTAAAACCTTATTAATTTTACTTATGGTCAAAAATTCACTTATAAAATTAAGACTTTTATATGTTTTTATTCAAAATCAACTAAATAGACACACTACAAGATTTAATTTTTAAATATTTTAAGAATATCCAATAAAATTTATTATTCACAACAACGTCTAAAAACTAGATAAACAAGCAAGTTTCCCACTAAATTCTGACATCTTTAATAAATTTTGATTCGGTAAATAATCATTAAATTCAATCCATTAAAAAAAAAAAAAAATTCGTACAATGATAAAATCATATTTTTTATTATGTTTGAAATAAAATAATGTTTTCAAATTTTAAACAGCTATTTTTTAACCCTTATCCTACATTAATTTTGATTGATCGATAAAAACAACTTTATTTTAAATACTATTGTGTTACATTTTAAACATAGGTATGTAGCATGGGGCGGAGATAAAATACTATACATAAGTTATATCTATCAAAGGCTAAAAAATGGCTATTTTGAAAATTCAAAAACAAAATTCTATTCATTTTGTGAGTTTTCAAATTTTTCAACTAAAAATATATTTTAAAATAAAAATAACAATCATTTATTTTTTTTAGACAAACAAATAAAAGTCGATTAAAAGTAAAAAAATTTTCATAAAAGAAAATTTGACTATAATATAACTTCTTTTAGGAAGTGTAAATAAGGATCTTGATAAAATTATTGTCCAAATACTTATTACAAGGTTAATAAGAATTAGACTGCACTACAAAGATTAACATTTAAATAAACTTAGTGTATTATGACTGAAACCAGTCATATAGTTAAAATAAAAAATATTAATTTGTTTTATTATTTAATTAATTATAGTATACATTAAGGCATACAATTACAAATTAGAATTAAAAAATTTAATAATTTTTTATAATTAATCTTAGTAGGACACTGCATACATATATGTAACACAATAATTCTATTTAATTTATAAGAAAATATTACTTTGTTCCATTAAATCATTTTTCAATTTTCAAAAATAGAAAAAATGTATTTTTTGAATATAAATACACTAAACAATATGTATTATAAGCTTTCTTAATTTTATAAATTTATACCTACTAAAAATAATAATCCAAGTACTGTTTTTTATGCTTAATTATTAACACAACCACCAGAAATTGACGACAAGTTATACAAAATGTACCAGAAATTATGTGACAAAATGTGACACGGTATAGGATAGAACCCATGACAGAAGGCACCATAGGGACAATCCTTACAACTAAGCCACCATGCACTTATAATTCAGATACCGATACACATTATCAACTCGGTTGATAATGTGATATGCACCTGAGGGAAACAAGGTGCCATGTCACTATGTAAAAATTATGTATTTTTGTACCCATCTTCATTTTTGTAATAATTTACATATTTGTTGAGATATTAGTAAACTAGTATAATAGGTTTAATAGTTACATGAGGAATAAAATAAGTTTTTGCTTCTGAAAATAAACAATAATGCAACTAAGTTCTAATAATAAGTTCTATTTAGCAAAATATATCTCATTATTTTTTTTTTTGAACTTAAATTAATTAATTATCAATCAACAATATCATTGCCTTGTAAAAATTTATATGGTTAAATATAAAAAAAATCTTAAATTATTCTTTGGAAAACTGATTTCATCACTTACCTTATCTCCTATGGTTGTATAAGAACATACATTTTTACATTCTCTGCATCTATTTGATGTGTCTGTAATAATAAAAACATACATTTATTTGTATATATGAAAATATTTTTCATTATATAATATAATCCAATAGATATTTTGGATTACATCTTGTAACTCATAAATTATCACAAAAACTTATTAATATAAATTCTTAGGAGTTATAGAAAATTATGAACAGTATATTATTTTATAATTGGAATAAATAAATTTTATTCTACCTATATCCAAGCATCAGCCTAGATAGAATTTAAAAAAAAATTAATAGGAATAAATAAAAATGTAAGTAAATATAATCAAAAAATAATTTTACTCTTCCTAAAAAATATTTTTCTACTAAATGTACTTTTATAAGAGGGAAATAATTTTTTTTTTAAAGAGGGCTTAGTAACCTAAATTCTGTCAATAGGTGTTATCCAACAGTATTTATTACAATTTTCATAATATAAAACAACTATACAAAAAAACTTTTTCAAATTTTTCTCATTTAATTTTGTTAATTAAATAGGATAATTGTGACGAAAAGTGATAAAAGTAATAATGGTAATAGTTTTTATTTCCTATTTAAATTTACTTACTATCTGTAAAACAACCACAAGTAGCACAGAAAATATGCCCACAGCTTGTAAGATAAAACAATTTTCTCATCTCGTTAGGCAAATTATTTGGCTGATTGCAGCACACATTACAATTTATCCATGACATATTACTAAAATTATTTTCTTCAAAATTGGAATTCATTTCTAGTGACAATTTAAACCTTTGTTTTTAATTATTGACAATAAATCAGATTCCAATAAGTAATTACTAGATATTATTTTATCGTAGAATCTGCTTTAATATATTTTAACACAAATACATTTAGTTAATAAAAATCTTGCTATGCTACATAAGACATTAATAATCTACACAAAAATATAATTACATAAGGTATTATTAACGTCTACCATTTTAGATAAACAGTGTAGGTAAAAACCAAAATAAATTTCTATAGACTTATATATGACTTAAATTCAACTTATAAATAAATTTTAAGAAAATTTAACACCTATTAATATAACAAATATTTATGTGATTTTTCAATTAATTTTTTATGAAACTGGATATAATCAATGTAAAAAATAGATATGAATATCTATGATTTTGTCCATCAATAATATTTTAAGTCCATATTCCCATCGGAGTATCTCAGGTCTCAGATCTCAGGTTGTCATCAAAACAATGATGTGAACATTATTCCTAAAAATTATACCGTCCATTTTTCATGAAGTAGTTAGTTTATTAATAATATTTACTAAACATAGCTACATACATATGTAAACATAGAAGACTGATCCAATGTTTATGTTAATACAGTCATTTATGTTAAATGACCTTTTTCCTCTTGTTACAAAAAAAAAATAATAATAATTTACCTTCTATGTCCTACCTCATTTATTTTATAAGCATTTCCATTAATTTTGTTTTTACCAAAAGTAATTGAATCTAATGTACTTTGTTCAGATACTTGGTACTATTATGGAAAAAGCGGCTAAACATTAATTTTCAAGTGTCATTAAAAACAATCATGTATTCATAATTTAGTGTTGGTTTAATTAAAAAATACAATTAATTTGTTTGAACGAAAAATAAGAAAATCAGTTGTATTACCCCGTTGTGTCTTAAATTGATTTAAGTTCCTTATTTACAACATAAGTATGAAAAATTGTTGGATTTATTCAATGAAAAATGTAGTTTATTAAACTAATATTTTAAATATTTGAATTTTTCTTTGTCGAAATATCTGGTTTCATCAATTATAATGATAACTAAGTACATATTTATGTTCTATATTCAAAAAAGGACTATATTAAGCTTCAAATTGAAAATTTTTAATGACAATTTTCTTAGCTGATGAATGATTCTTAAGTCAATTTTCTTTTGATATAGGATGTATAGCAAAATTTGTATTTCCTAAGAAATAGTGAATATATTAAAACAATATTATTAGTTAATTATTCTTTTTTATACAGAAAGAAAAAAGAAATACATCATAAATTTGTATATTTTATTACAATGGAGTACCTTTGATATATTTTTGTTAGTGCATATTACTTTTTAAGTATAATTTATCAGTTCATTCTACTAAGTTTCCATAAAAAATGTTTTCTACATTTATAGACACAGTTTTGTTTTGAATTCGTTTAAAGTTATAAAATAATAATAAGTACAAAAGAAATATTTGAAAAATTATGGAACTTGAATAACTAATTCAAATTGATACGTTAATCAAACTTATCTAGATCAAATTATTCGTCAAATATTTATTAATAAGATAATAATAAATTTTTAATTAACTAATATTAAATAAATATATAAATTTAACAAAATTTTGATAAGTATGTGCAATACCAAAAAAGAATTAAAAATACAATTATGAATTAATAATATATATTAATAATAAATATTTTAAGTTAATATAAAAATAACATTGCCTGATCCTAAGTATTTAGGATCAGTAGTGCAAAAGAGCAGTGATATTAACGAGGATGTAAGACACAAGTTTAAGTGCGAGTGGTTGAAGTGGAGAGAAGCGTTTGGTGTGTTATGCAATAAAATAATTCCAATGAGGCTGAAAGGTAAATTCTATAAGACTATAATGAGACCAGCTATGATGTATGGTTCAGAGTGTTGAGCGGTTGACAAATTTTAGGTTATTATAAAGTATAATTATGAATACATCTAAGTATTTTGTAGTCATATTATTATTTAATTTTCGAGTGGTACTCTTTTTTTAGTAAACTACTTTTGGAGTTTTACTTATTTTACACAACATATGCCGGTTATGATATATGTTGTGAAAAATAATCACTGAAATATATTTTACTATTTTATTATGATAGTTTTATTTTTTAAGGTAAACTATTGTAATAAAATAAATATGCGATTGGCAATCATATATAATTCAGTGAAGAAGTATTGTAAATTAATATTGACAACCTTATACGTTAAAATGTGATATAAATATTGAAAAGGTAACGATTTGAAATTTATGAATAAATTAACTTTTATATTGAGCTTTTGAGCTTCTAGCAAACAAATTTTCAGTTTCTTTTATGTTAAACCGTATTTCTTAAATTATTTTTATTTTCTTTTAAGTTTTCATACAGGTATGAAAACCTATTCTTTATTATTCTATATTATTAATAATCTATCATCATATCATTTAAACAATTTTTTCAATTTAAAGTTTTAATTGTTTATTTATTTTGTTTAGAAATTTAAATACGATAACTCTTGGTGTTCAAATGAATAATTTGTGTAAAACTTCATCAAGTTTAACATTTTTGTTAAAAAAAAATAATTGTTATAATATCAACAAATTATTTATGTCAAAATTGTGGTTTAGGATCCTTTTAAAAAAATGTAGATATAGACAAAAATACTTTTTGAGGGATATGTGAAATTGTCAGATGCGTTTTTACATATATTTTCTAATTACTAGTGTAAAAAATTACATGACACGTCTATGACTATAACCATCAATAAAAATTGAACCTTAATATTTTTTACTAAGACATTGGCCATATAAAAGTGAAGTTATTCATTTTAATTAAAATAAAAATTCAATACTAAAAGAAATATCAGGAATAAGAATTGAAATTTTAAAAATTAAGACAAAAAAATCATTTTTTCCAATTTCTTACAATTGTTTTAATGGAAAATTATATATATTTTTTTTTATCTTAAAACAGAAATTATTCGAAAACAATAGTTTATAAGACCAAACAAAATATACATAGGCGTAAGTAATTACTTATTTAACTTTACAATAGAAAATTAATATATCAATAAGATTGATTATTAAGATCAATAACAAAGCACTCGTATAGTATACTACTAATATTAGTATTTTTTAATTAGCGTGACGCTCTAAAATAATTATAATATATTTATACCTATTATAGTTGTTTTTGAGGAAGATTATATCCTTTTGTAGAGCGTAATATTTCAATTCATAATTCAGCAAACTTAATCTTATGTAATTGTTGAATTGCACGAATCCATCGATCCGTCGAATGTGCTGTCCAGAAAATGTGTTGTGATTATTTATGCCATCGTTGTACTACACCGAGTTGTTGTCGGTCTTCTCTCTATATCTGCATTGTCGCCGCCATCTTAGCACATTTTAACTATAAGCTCTATGGCGCTTGCGAGCAAATAGTTTTGTATTCGTTTTGTTGTAAAAGTAAAATATTACCTTTGCGATTGTCGCACCCTTATGCGTTCAGTATATCGCCATTGGGCCTACATATATTCTGACATACATCATAGTACCGTTCACAGAATATTGTACACGTTGGTCAGCTATTTGCATTCGACTTCAATATTCAACAGTATCATCAGCCGTTTCAATTAGCCGATAAGTATAACGCTTATTTATCTTTTTTTAAAGACTTACTCACATATCCTCGACATAGTTTGACTTAAGACAAAATAAAACAACGAACCCGCGTGAGTATCACCGTTCATACAATAATTTTTAATTATGTTTTTCTTGAATCTCATAAAATGCAAAAAAAAACATTACCTAGGATTTATATTATTATTATATCTATATTCTACACTAATGATTCACACACGAAAATGAATAAACTATTATTGACTTATATTTAAAATTAGTAATATTTTATAAATATGACAGCAAGCTTAAGTTATACATATAGAAATTACACATGTGAATTATAAATACAATTGTTATTTTTTAATTATATGTATCTTAAATACTAAAACACCTGAAAATATAACTATGGCTAATTAATATAATACACAAGAAACAGGGACCGGGCCACCTGTGTCCGGTATCCTTGGCCCGATTTGTTTCTGTGAAGTTCTTTGCGCAAAGGTAGAGATTAATTATAACTGGCCGGTATCCTTAATCCGTCTTTTAGAAAATATTTTGGCAAGCTCACTGTCATCTTCAGGAGGCTTTGTTATTTCTAAACGTTTAACCTTCAATAAAAAATCATAAAATAAAAAATGTATAGAGTAAATAAATATTTATGAAAATAAATACTTTTTTTAATACTACACCGTTTTTTAATTCTTTTATTAAATTGTCATTCTGCATATTTCTGGGCTACATGAAATAAAACAATTAGCTAATTTATTGAGAAATGTAATATAATTTATATTAGGACATCATTGAGATTAACAGGATTATCTCTTCAAACTTGGTTAAGATCAAATAATGTATTTTATTTATAAACCCTTTTCATGTATTAAAACTAAGACTAAGAGTGTATTTTAAAAACTCATGCTTCGTATTGGATTAAAAACTTTGATGCAACGATTTGTTTAGAGTACTCAATAATTAATTAGTAGATAAAACTATTTACCTTTAACATTTTTTTACTTTTGATATCGGCACCATTTTGTAATCTTAGACAATCACCATCCCCTTTATGCATTAGCGGAGACCGTGGTGTGAATGGAAAAGGTGGTGGCGGCGGCGGCGGTGGCGGTGGTGGAATAATTACTGTAACAATTTTTTTCTTAAATAATATATAGATTATATTAAACTAAATATATTCTTATAATATTTAATATAGACTAATAAAAATTGATTATGTCTAAATCAGACATCATAATTGATAAATAAGAATGATGTTTTAAATTTAAAAAAATTATCAGTAATTGTTAAAAATCAATTAAAATTTTATCATTAATTTAGATACAATATATTATAAAATTATTTATTAGAATATTATATATTCTGATGAATAAACTATGATTTTTAGTATACTTACACAAAAAATTTATCTAAAAAACAATTTCATATAAGAAAAATGCAATTATCTTCTTAATTATTAGTATTTAATGATTTGTTTTTTCTAAATTTTAAATTTTTTGTATAATAAACATTTAATATGTAATGAAAAGTAATTAGGCTTTAGATCAGGAAGATCTACAATGGACCAAATATTTATTTTTCAACAACTATTCCAAAAGACATGGGAGTTCGACAAGGAAATGCATGTACTCTTTATAGACTTCAAGAAGGCATACGACAGTATCCATCGCAAAATTTTAATAAATATTCTTTATATTTAAAGTTCTTTAATAAAGTTATTTAACTTCCCACAAAAATTAGTAAAACTAGTCGAAACAAGCATTATAAAAAAATTCATTAAAATAAATCTAGAGGAAGCTGAAATCGACCCAATAATAATGAAATCAGGATTTCACAGGATGAAAAGACAGGAGGACTCTATGTAACCTGTTCTATTTAATCTATTAGAAAAAGTTATAAGGGAAACTAACATCGGACGCCAGGAAGATGTGTCCCTACAAGAGTCTTCCATGGCATTATTGGCATATGCAGACGATTTGGTCCTTATGGATGAATAACACGATAAAGCCTAAGCTTTATGAATAAGCCTAAGAACACTATTCGGCTGTTTGGAGGAGGCAGCGAAAAAGGTTGGCTTATAAATAAACAAAGACAAAATCGAATACATGGTGGTGGGGAAAAGATATGGTACGAGAATATATCCTCCCTCGAGAATGGGTAACCATGAATTTAATCGAGTCAAACAATTTAAATACTTAGGTTCGGTATTGATCGAAAAAAAATGAAACTGAAAAGGAAACAGCAACAAGAATTCTGTCGGGAAACAAATATCTTTACGGACTCACAAAGATACTAGAGTTACGGTCCCGGTCGGAGGGAAATAAAGATACAATAGTATATTACAATATTACGCCCAATAATTACATACGGAGAAGAAACATAGACATTATGAAAAACAGAAGAACATAAATTTGATTATTCTGAAGAGAAAAATCTTTTTAAATTCTTAAAAAATCTTAAGAAAGATCTTTGATCCAGAATAATACGAGGAAACTGACAGATGGAGAATAAGAAAAAACAAAAAATTAGAGGAACTCTTTCATCATCCAAACATATTAAATATAATTCAGAGTAGGAGGTTACAGTGGGCTGGTTACGCCGGGCGTAATCAGAACCCACTACTGCACATGGTATTGGCAGAGAACCCAGAAGTGAAAAGGCCTCTTGGACGACACTGTTTAAGATGAGAAGACATGGCAAAGAGAAACGTAAAATCGTTAAATGGAGGCTCAGATTGGAAAACGAAAGTAGCTTACAGAGAGACTTGGAGGATTCGTTGTTTCACGGGATAGTCGAAATGGCCGTTAATGCCCAAGAAGAAGAATGAAAAGTAATTATACAATATATATTTTTTACATATGTGTAAATATATAAAGTCCTATAAGACAAAATTTAAATAATTAGGCGCATAAAGATTTTCCCTTTTTAATATTTTATTCTAATTATAAAAAGTAGCAATTTAAATACATTTTAAAATGTAAATAAAAAGCACCTTCAGTTTTTTATAAATGTTTTTTAAAGCTAAAACATTATAAATAAAGTTATTTTTACAATTATAGTTATTATTTACCTTTTGTTGCATTCTTTTGTACAAAATTATTAAAAGATTTTTTCAGCTCGATTAATTCCGATTTTATAAACTGAAAATCATCTATAAAATGATACATTAATATAAATTAAGGTAATATCAACATAACTAATGATCACATTAAATAATCTTTTACCTTCAAGTTTCATCATTCTTTGCGAGTTCAAATAAAATATATTATAACCTTCTAAAACATACAAATTATTATATGTATAAATATTGTATGTTTATTAAAAAATTTTATTATTATATTATCAAAACTAAAATGCTTCAAATTTATTACTTTTTCCTTCAGATTTTTTTATAGTTTTTTTTCCAACATAACAAGAAACTTTATTTAATTGAACCACTTCTAATTTTAAACTATGTACTACTTCTAAACATAAAATTAAATATTGATATAAATTTATTACACATTGCCCAACTAAGAAAAGTCAAAAAATGTTTTACCTTCGAGTTCCGTTAATCGCTGAGATGTTGTATCTCCTTTTAAAAACATAAGAATAATGGTTAAAAATAAAAAGCTTTAAATTAAATATTATACTACTTACCAAGAATTGGTATGTTAATACTGTTGGTTAAAATAATGTAATTGTGAGGTTTTAATAAATTTTACACAATTTTAACATTCATAACCGTTACTCGATTATTCTCGCTCTTTAAAGGTAATATAATAAGTGCGAGGAGTATCAAGTAAATAAATAATTCTTAAAAGCAAATTTTTTATATTGGATAAAAATTAGCAGCCTTATTAATTCATAATGAAATAAAATATACTCATTTGATTTAAAATGTCCGAAATAAATACATTCTAGAAGTATTTTTACAAAAGACGACAATTATTTAAATACTAATAAATAAAAGATAAGTTTGTGTATTTCTACTTTGACTGTATTATTTACTATTAATAAGTTGGATAATTGAGAACTTTGAAATACTCATAAGTAAAATTTAGAGTTCTACCTAATTCAGAAAATAATCAAAAATCAACTGTATTTTGTCAATAAAATTGTTTTCATTGCAAAAACGTTAAAGCAAAACTTGTAGTTCAGACAATTATATATTTTGTTAATGTCATTTTGGAAGCACTTGTATCTAAATAGATACATTTTTAGCTATTTTCTAAAGTAAGCAATCCTTTTATTTGCGTTATAATACATATTGTTGTTTAATAAATTTTGTCAATATATAAATGTCAGAACTACAAACTCAGATTTTAAAAAAATACAAACCATTTTTCATAGTATTTTTAATCTCATCTTCCTTTTCTGGACGGAATATTTGTGTAGGTAGACTTGGGTTACTTAATTGTTTATCGAATATGCCATCCTAGAAAATTTTCTAGGTATAATTCACATTTTCCTTTAAAAATAATTAAAATCATTTTATTAGATTAAACCGTAGAAACAGTAGTTAAATTATTTTCTTCGTTGAGTTTAAGCTCTGAAAATTGTTTGGTTTTTTGCGTTTCCTTCGAGTTCGGTATACTTATTTTATCTTTTGTATTTTTATTTCTTTTCATAAAATTCCATATAGCAAGAAAACATCCACACTTTTTGCCTTTTGATTTCATATTTATCAACAAACAATAATATAAGTATTTATAATAATTATAATAATAATAATAATAATAATAATAATAATAATAATAATAATAATAATAATAATAATAATAATAATAATAATAATAATAATAATAAAAATATAAAATAAGTTTATGAAGTAGAAAAACTTGTTTTTGTTATAATAATTAAAATAATTTGTAACGAAAAACTAACTGTAATGAATGTTTACTATGTAATTATTACAGTTACCCTAGTAAATAAATAGTTATCATTTTTACGAAAATTTTAATAAATTAAAACCTTAAATAATATCCTTAATAATTAGGGATATTGTTCAAATAAATAATAATTATTGATTTGAATGAATGCATAATTTTTTAAATGCATAATACAGTTTATCAATATTTTTTTATTTACCTTAATAATAAAAGGTAAATCCAGTTACCTTTATCCAGCTGTTTTTATATTTATGCATTTCATTTTTATTGAAAACAAAAATGTTTATAAAATCAGAAGCTATTATTAAAAATAAAGTTAATTATCAGTAATATATAATTATGTTATCATAATCTACTATTTTACATATTTAATAACATGAGTTTTAAGTAATAATTTTAAAATATACTCTTATATTACAATCATATGATTTAAAGATTGAATATACTCAGTTTATACAGTATTTTTTTAACTACTCACAAAATATCTTCTAAAATATATGAGCTATTTATTGGTTTACTATTTTAACAATAATAGTTCTTTGTTAATCTGCTTAACATAAAAACTTATTATTCTGCTACTATCCTTTATGCTTTAAACTCTTATCAGATTTTTTCTTTCAAATGTCATTCCCATTTTTTTATATCATCATTATATTTTCAATTGAATAAAAAAAATTTGTCTGAAAAATTATGCATTTTATTCGATTTTTATAAGTTTTATTTTTTTACAGCAGGAATGATCACAAAAATAGCATACTTATTTTTAAATACGGTACATTATTATGTTATTATCAATAAATGTTTTAGGTTCTTAAAAAATAAATAAATTGTAAACCCTATCTTGTTATAAATTTATTAATTTATGACCCGATAAAAATACATTATTTTCAAAATATTTCATTTCAGCCTCTATTCTTTAAAATGTTGAAAATTTAATAATATAAAAAGATTTTTTAAATAAAAATTTTTTTTAATTAAACAAATTTATTAATATATAAAATTTATCAATAGTATATTACATAATTAAGTTCATATATTTTCTTTTAGGCATCCTCTAATTTCCACACATTAATATAAAAATGATTTTTTATACACATTATGAATTCATTGTTTACTATAATATGATAAATTATACTATCATATAGTGATGATATACAATTATACTTAAAATAATTTTTAGTTTTAAATTGTTTTTCATTGTTTCATTTGTTTTATTTCATTGTTTTATTATATAATAAGGTCATCTTAAAAAAAATAGTTTTTATCTAAATAAAAGTTATTAAAAAAAAAAATATTGAATAAAATAAGTAAAATGAATCCATATATTCTGATCTATTCATTTCATCATAAACATACAAAAGAATAAATGTTTACTATTTAATTACGCAGGACAAAAATAACTTAAATATTTGCTAAAATTATTGTGAAGATAATCTTATTTTTGATAAATTATATAATATACGTAACTTCTTTGTTTTATAAAATGAACGAGTTCGTGCATATATATTTGAAGATTTATTTATAATACATTATTATAAAACAATATAAATTAGGTATTTTCAAAATATTTTATAGAAAATGAACACAAGTATGATAGTATAAATGAAATAATAAGAACATTAATATCTTAGTTCAATTAATTATTATTATAAAAATTTGTAAAAAAAATTTTCTCAAAAATGTTATTAGATTAAAAGCTAATTTTTATATAAATTCTTCCAGTCATTAAATTCATATGGTGTTTTTATTTAATACAATATAAATTTTATATTTTATATAATTGAATACAAAATAATGAATTATTATTATACAATATGTTAACAGCAATAGTAGAAAATTGTTTATTTTGTTATTATTTCAACCGCAGTTTAAAAAAATTTCATTACTAAAAATAAGTTTCATTTAAATGGATAAAAAAGTTTGTAATTATAAAAGTTAGTAAATATTTTTTTAAATACCTGAAAGCCCTATTTAAGTACATCCGTAAAAAAAAGTTTTATTATACATGATACATGTTGTTACACAAGTTATGCTACATTAAATAAATGAATTAATTTATCTAAGAAAATATTTTAAGATTTTATTACTATATTTAAGTTTGATAGAATTCGATATATTTGTTCGACTCTTTAAATAATATATTATTTTATCTTCTCTATTATACTTCTTGAATATTAAAATTCTATCTAAAACCTCAGACAATTTTTATTACTCTATTCTAAAATTTTTGAAATTTCAAATTTTTAACATTTAAGTAATTCTTGAAGCATATTAATAAGCTCGACAATTCTAAAAACTGTATCCAACTGCTATATATATATAGTAACCCTATAATGTCTATGGTAAAATATATTATGCTTTAAATTAAAATAGTTGATATCGTAATAAATCTTTAAATTATTTTTTTATATTTAATGGTACAATTATCATAAAATTGTACCTCTTTTAAATAATTTAATTTTAATTACAATTCACATAAGATACTGTTATAGTACTAAAATTATAATTTTTCTTAAATTAGCAGTAATCCAATTATGTAAACAACAATTTGGAAAAAATGCCTTTACTACTTTTATATTTGAGTAAATCATGTTGTAATATTAAACTGATTATACTTTTTTTTTTTGTATATAAAATATGATGGTATTATAAACCATAACTTAATTATTTTGAAAAGTATAATAAATTTTTTTTTAAAGTTTTCATGGAATTATTTCTAAAAATGTAATTTTTTGTTCAAGGCCAACGTGCGAAAAGGTTTAATACTTTTAAATAGATTTTTGACTCATAATTATAATATTTTGCAAAATAAACTTATAATTTAATTACTTAGTTTTTTTAATTATTGATAAACAAGAACCGGTAATAGCCTACTTTTCCTCCTCTAATTTAAATAAATCATATCACATTTGACCATTAAAGTTATTTCTTTGTATTTTTTATCTAGTAGATTCATTATGTAGAAATGAAATGTAATTACAATATTTTCTATAACTTTAACCATTCTTTGTTATCTTTAATTTTCAAAAGTTCTTCCAAAGCAAACGATCCTTTTCGATAACTTCCATTGTTGGACAATTTTCTAGATAAAAAATAACTATTATTATTAGTAGTAGTGAGTTTATGAGGCCTCTATGAATGCAATTTTCAATCTGTAATCCGACACAAGGATTATGGAAGGTAAAATTAAACATTGGGCTGCGGTATATTACCCAATAAAACCTTACCATAGCTATTTACGTGACGTGTGCCCTTCAAAATAGTAAAATAAAGATCACTCTCCTCGACTAGTGAATGTAAGTAAGTAGTCTACAAAAAATAACTCTCAAATAACTTCTTAAAAAAGGGAGCATAGACTTATGATATAATTTTTTCAGAAATGTCAAATTTAAAATTTAATCATGAAGATATTTTATAGTGCCAGAATATTCAAACACTACACATAATAATAATATTGATATAATATTTAGTCATGTCATACTAGTTTAGTTATTCTTTTATTATTTGGATATTAAATTTTACTATTGCATTCATTAATGGTCATTTATATAAATCATTAAACGTTAATGTATAAAACCTCCCTAGTTTATTTGTAAATTTCCATACTTAGATCGTTTAGCGATGTCTCTAAAAGGTCCGAGAAAGTGACAAATATTATAGGTAAGATTTACTAAATAATTTAACAAGGAATTTAGAATCATGTATGAGTGATATGTATGTTCCTTTTTTTGTTTAATTGACTCAGATTTTTAAGAATAATTGAAACAATATACATTTTAAATAATCTATAGTATTCTTAAATTTTTGATATATTTACAATACAAAACTGGTAAAAATGCATTTTCAACTGTCAGATTCATAAACCCATTCCAATCAGAAGAAATTATATCCGAAGACGAATATTACGCGGTTGATGGAAGAAAACGACGTTATATTGTTATTCAAACAAGGGTTCGAGCTATACAATAGATAGGATCGATGGGATTATACTGCGTGTTTACAAATATATCCCTCTTGGTGAATAGTTTTATAAAGCTCTAAGCTAGCAAACCAACTGGCTGAGAAGCAAGCCACTGGACATGAGCTCTACATTCCGAGTTGGGTCCATAGTGGACCTGATGTTAGGGAGCCGAAAGACACTGATTTGATGATAGAACAGCAGTTTTACTTTATGCCAGTCGTAGAAACAAAAATATGAAGTTGACTTATGTAAAATTACACATTGTGGATTGCGACATTCAGATTTAAAATTTCACAATATTTCAAAAGGCCTTTATTAATTTTACTATGATTATGAGAATTGTAAAAAAAACCTAAAATAAATATATTAATATTTTTCCTAAAAATAAATAATGTATATTTATAAGGAATCTAGTTAGAGTAGCCGTGAAGATATCACTGCCTTCTAAAACAAAAAATATTCTTCTGGTACTGTATTCTTATAATTCTTTAAGTCCAAATCCCTGATTATATTTAATAGTTTTATATAAACTTACATTGATGTTCTTGCAGATGATACAGTCAATCTACTCAATGGATAACAATGTCTAGGTTTGGCTTGTTTTTTTTGTTGTTTCTTCTGCTGTAACCATTTAGAGAAATTTTTTTCATTTTCTATTCTTCTTTTTTGTTCTTGTTCAATTTTTTTCTGGTGAACTTCTTTTCTACGCTGTTCTCGTTCCGTTTTCAATCTTCGTCTTTCTAATAATTGTTCGGCAGACAGACCATATTCCGATCTTAAACCATTATAATCTGGCAATCTCAATCTATCACTACCTCCACTACTATTAGAAGATTTTCTTGACGATCCGCCACTTGTTGACTGTACTTGTTGAATACTATCGGCTGGTTTTTTTTTTATCACGAGTTGTGCCCCTTTATTACCAGATATATCGGTCTGAAATTCCAAAAATAAATCAGAGTTTGTCGACTTCGGTTGTAATATTTTACTTGTTCGTTTAGTAACTTCGTTACTACTTTTAGCTGCCTTCAAGTTGATATGGAAAAATTTGACAGTTTTAGAGTGTTTAGCATCGTATACTTTGTTTTTATTCAATGGCTTGAGTTTACCACTGGAGTCTAATTCAAAATAATAAGTAGCTTGGGGTTTATGTATAGATCGAGAAAAATTACCATTACGGTTAATCACAGGAGGCCGAATTTCTTGGCGATTTTGCTCCACTTTCTTTAGTACTGTTTTTTTAGGAACCAATTGTTTTATTCCCTTTGTTGATGTCGATTTTATGCTTCCTGTTTGCTTCTGAAGATCTTTTTTTAAATCCCTTAATCTATTTCTTAGTTCTTCGGGATCCAATTTTTTAGGCACATAAATATTGTCATCATCACCTGCATTGAAATTTTTTTCATCACCTACCGAGCTGTTTTCATATAATTTATATTGAGAATGAGTAAATAACTCTGGAAAATTTTCTACTTGTTCATCAATAGCTGGTCTCTGACTCTTTCTATCTCTTTCTATCTCTTTAACCCTGTTTAATATTGTTTCAACCTCATTATCTGATTCAATAATGTTCACAAAAAACGGTGGATCTTCTGAGTCTGAAGAAAAGCTTCGACTAAAAGAAACACTTGAAGATGTTATCTCCTCATTATCTTTGTATTCTTGCTGAGTTGACTGATTTTTTTCGATTGTTGGACAAATCACTACATCATTCTGATCGTCTTCTTCTGTATTAGGCATCAAATCTACTTTAGCTATGATTAGTTCAGAATCATCAACTATATTTTTATTGTTGCATAGATCAATAACATTATTATTCGATGTTCTTTCTTCAGAACCTCGAAGTCTCTCTGTACCGATAGATATGGTACCTAAATTAATAAAAATTAAATTTTATTCTAAAATGATATTCATAAAAATATTACATGTAAATAATTTTTGAGAAATAAAAAAACATTATAATTGAATAAAATGTAGACATTCTTAAATATTTTACCAATATCTTCAAAACTATCCAAAACTACAACAGTATTATCAAATTTGACTTTAGATAAAACACTGACTGTATCTTTATCGATTATATCATTTTTCAGTTGTCTGTTGGCATCGACAATTTTCAACCGCAAGTCATACGGTTGTTGAGAAGGTTTTAATACAGTACCAGAAGCAAAATAAATTTCTATAATAATTGTTATAAAAATCAAATAACTTATGATTGAATTTAATTTTACAAATAAAATTATGATTAGAATAATAACAAAAAATCATATTACTTATAAAATCTTCTTCGTCATCCCCGTTGCATTCATTTAGCACATTGGAATCATTCGTGGTCAATAATTCATTTTCATTTAATAGTTTAGGAAATTCATGTGTAGAAGTCAAACGATATTTAAGATCATCATCAAAGATATTTGAATAATCTTCATACTTAGATGTTTTGTGTTTATCAAATAGAAAATTTTCGTGATTTTTAACTTTACTTTTCGTATTTTTTTCATAATTCATTTCTTTTGTAAAAATTTTAATAATTAAAAAAAAACATATGACATTAATAAGGTATTTAGTATTAGTTTAAAAAATATTAGACAAATCATTATTTTGATTCTTAGTCTAATTCTTCATAGTAATTTTAAATTTCTTAAAATGAAATTCTTACTATGGAACTCCATTAACACATTCTAGAAAGTAAAGTAAATATCAATGGTTATGTACACATTAATGCATTTTTTCAGAAATAACATTCAATGATTACATATAAGATATACAGAGTGTTTAGTTTATCACCAACTACTCGCAAAATACTGTTTTGAAAAAAAAGTTTTATTTTAGATACATTTTCTTTATGTATTTACATTGTTATTTGTGAAATCACAATGATGACCGATGGTAAAAAAGAATTGCACTATTTTAACCCATTATAAAATTGAACCATTTAAAAAATACATAAACATATTATATATGGTACAAAAAGAACTGACCAATAAATTATAACAATTGTAAAAATTTCAGACCATATATGGAGTGATCGGTTTATCATAAACTGCTCGGTTACACGAAAAATAAATACATTATTGCAAAAAATATATTTAATTTTTTTCACTTACATATATTTCTTGATTTATCAGCTAATAATGACTTTTTAGAATAATCCTTTATAACTTAAAGCAGTATGAATTTTATTTTTTTAAACTGCAATATACATATTTAACGAGTTTATTAAATATAATCTGATTAAGAAAATGACTGGTCGATAACAATTTTTGGACCAGTACATTGGAAGTTATTCTCATTTTTATACTTAGACAGGACGAAGAATACGGCTAGGAAATTACTAGTGGTAAAATTAGCAACATCCTTTCCACACCTCCAATCATTACTTTAAATTGTTAACAATTTCTAAATTACTGATCCAAAAGTTGTTTTCTGACCCATTATTTTCTTAATTAGATAGTTTTCTATGTTATAAATTAATTAAATATGTATATTAACATTAAAAAAAAAATAAAGTTGACACTCTTATAGTTATAAGAAATGATCTTAAAAAGTAATTATTCAAGAAATATATGTAACTAAAAGAAATCAACATTTTTTTAAAAATATTTTATTAATATTGACATAAATCGAGTGATTTGTGATAAACCAATCAATATATATATATATATATATTAGGGTGTCCCTCATTTATAAAATTTAAAAATTACAAAGTGCCACCCAAGAATAGAACATATACGTTTTTATTTTTTTAGGGCCAAATAAGAACTTTTCGAAAATTTTTGTATATATACTTTTTATAGAAAAATTATATACCTATAAAAAAGGTCAAATAAACTTTTTCGCAAAAGCTAATGTTTTTGAGATAGACATAAAAAACTAAAAAATCACCCTTGGGGAGGTTATTTTTAACCCCCTTGGGGCACGTCTTAGAGTTGACCAATCGTCTCTAAATTTTGTATAATTTATTTTTTCATTTATTTTATTCGAATAATTCTAGGGGGTGGCACTTTGTAATTTTTTAATTTTATAAATGAGGGTCACCCTAATATATATAAGAGTAAATATATTATCTGACTACAGCATAGTATGACGTTACAAGAATATTTTATACAGTGTTCAGTAAGGAAACGGGTTTTTATTATTTTGATTGCTGGTAACAATTGACCTGTTTCCTTACTTACTTAACACTATGTATACATCATTTGTGCACATAAAAATACACAATTAGAAATGTTTATTTTAAAATATAACTCATTTTACACAAAATTTGCACTTAACACATGTGTGCGCTTAACCTTCGATATAATGTAATATGTTTAACTAATTAATTGTAATTTCAATAAAAAAAAGTTCCCTTGATAAAATTAATGTTTATGAAGTATTACATCTTTTTAAGCGTGTAAACATCTACGAAGCGAGAAAATATATTTGTAATACATTTTTTTTATGGCGTGTAAACAAGCAATACAAAAACCAGGGACAGGCGCGTGTTATTACCAGCATTAATAAAATAAAAAGTTATTACACACATTTTATTTTCTTAAGTGTAAATTTATTCTCATACCCACTTTAGCTTAGCTTTTGAATATATAAAAAAAGCTGAGCTAAAGTGGGTATGGAAATAAATTGCTTTTCAAATTTCTTAATCATTGATATAAACTGTTCGAGTTTTAATTAAATATAAGATACTTTTGATAATAAAAATAAATCAATCTTTACAGTGACTTGTATGCACCATGTCTATAATAAATTATTTGTTTTGCTGCTAGAATTATTAATTAAGAAATAATTCTCATATTTCAATTCTATAGGGCAAAATATAAAAATATGGGGGGGAGGGGTGTTGTACATAAAATATTTGACCTAATAAATTTAAGCAATTGCAACGAAAATCGTATCAACTCAAAGATCTGAAATCGAAAAAGTCTTGACAAAATTATTTAATTCTAATAGAAATATTAGTATTAATAGAAATTTTCTATTAATATTACTAAAAAAAAAATTAATTACTATTCTAACCAAATTAATATAATTCTATTATAACAGTATTAGAACTACCAATATTATTATAATTAATTAAGACAAACCTTTATATTCAAATAATTTTAATGACATTATTCTAAGCAATAAACCATTAAAAATTAGCAGCATTAAGAAAATTTTTACTTTTTTTTATTATAAACATTGAAGAGAATAGCTCTAACTACACAACAATCGTTTTATTAAATATTGTTATATTGAATGCTAGATTTAATAGCGTAATAATTAAATACTATATTAGTTGATATTAGGTTTTTGAGACTTAGAATTGAATATTTTAAAGTAAGTTTATTTATTTAATAAATTATACTGAGACGATTTTTCAAGAATTTATTACGAATGAATGATAACAATGTACTCTTTCTTAAAATACTTACTAAAATTACTTAAAATTAGTTATAGTTATGTAATATTGTAAGGAATTACTTTTAATAATAGATCTTCATTTATTTAAATGTAACAATAACATTAATTTGATGGTTAATAATATTTTTACTCAGCAGACGTTGATATAATTTCTATTTTTGGAAATTTTGTGTGTATTTACCAATTATAGTTTATTCTTCTATTGGAGAGAAGAACGTTTCATTAACGATTTTAAATTAAAAAATAGTATTACACAGTTTTTTTAAATCATATAAAATAACTATAGAATCTTAAAAAGCTTTTATTTATTAAACTAAGATTATAAACATAACACAAAGACATTCTAAGACTAGTACGAAAAAATCTATAGAATATACTAAAGCCTACCTACAGGAATTCAAATAAAACTTAATTGGTTTTGATTGCATCTCATGTTTATTGGTGTTGTCCAGGTTACTTATGCTCATCGTTCTCATTTTTATTGTACCGCTAGAGTCGTTTACCACACTGTAACGCGTTACCGGTACTAAACAAAATATTTTTGTTTGTTTTCATCTTACATGATTGGTGTAATAACATTACTGCAAGATGATAACATATATATCTTTTTAAAACTAAATAGCTAATCATAGTTAGCCACATAGTAAAATGACACTTAATCGTATTTGACTTGTAAATGTTGTAAAGTACCACCATTTCAATTAATAACGTTAACAATGTTTCTGTCCATTAGTTCGAAGATATTTTATTAAAACAAATACTTAAAGACACACAAAAATGTTCGTGCTACCCACTAAATATATTTTGGCGTTGATAATAATATTGAATATTACACCATACATCTTTTCTGAAGAATCAAAATGTCAAACTTATGCTGATGGAACAGTTTTTCCAACAAGTACTGTGGAATCAACTAGTCATAAACTTCAATATACTAAAGCACTAAGTAAGTTTACTAGTTTTCACAGAGTTATTGTCTTTATTAATTCATAAAATTTGTTGATACAATGTTTTAAATTACAATAATTGCAGTATCAAAACCAGCCCCAGATTGGAAAGGAACTGCAGTTATTAATGGAAAGTTGCAAGAGCTAAAATTAAATGACTTTATTGGAAAATATTTGGTGTTTTTTTTTTATCCTTTAGATTTGTATGTATCAATATTGTAATATAGTATAATATTTATATATATTATATTAAAATTAGTTATTACCACATGAATAAATTATTTTAGTACATTTGTATGCCCAACTGAGATATTGGCGTTCAATGATCGAATTGGAGAGTTTAGACAAATTGGAGCTGAAGTTGTAGCAGCATCTGTTGATTCACATTTTACTCATCTAGCATGGGTTAATACACCTCGTAAAGATGGTGGTCTAGGAAAACTAACTATTCCACTTTTATCAGACTTGACTCATAAAATATCAAAAGACTATGGTGTTTACTTAAGTGATGTTGGTCATTCTTTAAGGTATTACCATTTTGATTATTTATTACTAAGAATTTCTTTTTTCCTAATAATTAATTATTTTCAGGGGATTATTTATCATAGATAACAAAGGTGTTCTAAGACAAATAACAATGAATGATCTACCTGTTGGTAGAAGTGTTGATGAAACTTTAAGACTGGTACAAGCTTTTCAATATACAGATATGCATGGTGAAGTATGTCCTGCAAATTGGAAACCTGGCGAACAAACAGTAATTTCATGTTATTTTCATTCTTTTCTTAAATTAATTTTTTTAACAAATATGTCTTATTAATTTGAAATATTATATAAAATTTCGAATTAATAGTATTACATTAATTTTTAATCAGATATCTTATGTTATTAAAAAAATTATTTAATTTATGTGGATAAAACATAAATTATTAGAAGATTCCGTGAACGAACATTTTCTAAAAAGACATCATATTAGCAGACTAACTTAAACAAACTATGTAATTCAAAAAAGTTTATTGCTTAAAAATACTAGTTACCTATAACAAAATATTTATATGAATATCCTGTAAATAATGGCTGTCGGAAACTTTAAGTGGCTTCAAAATCTTCCTTTTTATCTCTAAAGTGAGGTAAACCTTATCTTTTAGGAGTTTTTTATCAAACGCAACCATGACTTTTGGTTTTGTATTTAGCAAATTTTTCAATCAAGTTAGACAATTGCCTTAAAAATAATATAGTGAATCTTCAAAAATATGAAAAATGATATAATAGTTTAAAAAATAGAAGTGTATGACTGAACTTATACCGGACAAAGATTTATTAAGTATTTATATTTCTCACTTATCCTGATTTTATTCTAGATTATTACAAAAATAACATTTCTTTAAAATTGTATATTCATTTTTTGCTCTAAGCTGTTATGTCATAAATAATATTTCAAAAAGCAAATAGTTATATGTTATAATGCAATAGTTATTTAATATTTAGAAAATAATACCTGATATTTTAGGTTTTATTATTTTCAAAGTTTTAAATATTTACAATTGGTTGTTTGCTCTATTATTTCTGGTTACACTGTAAACCAAAATAAAAATCTTAATAGTTATAAAGATTTATTATTTATTAAGATTATTAAAATTGTATTCCTGTTTTACTTTTGTCAGTTTTCATAGACATTATGTATCAATGATATAGTATTGGATATATATTATCAATTGATAGATATATTAATAACAAAAACTAATTAACAAAATTGTAATTACACTAGTATAAATTTATATTGTTAATTATTTTAAATTATACCTTAAAATTTTTAATTTAATGTCTTATTTTTAGTAAATTTTTCTTATACTCTCTGTATAAGTCATTTACTAAAGATAAATGTGTATAAACTATCATAGTTTCCTGTTTTCTTTTATTAATAAATGACATTTAAATCCAGTTTTAAGTATACAAAAGACATATTTTTAAAGTAGTTAATTCATTTTAAACCAAGTTTAATTTTGTGTAATTGATTTATTGTTATTTTTATTTCAGATCATTCCTGATCCTATTAAGAAAAAGGAATATTTTGATAAGCTAAAGGAACTGTAAATTATCTAAGCGATCTCTAGAATATTTTACATCACAAATTAAGTTATAAATTATTACTTAATATAAACTTGTATAAATTAATAACATTTATTTTATATAAACTAAAAATAGTGATTTATTTTTTACTCACTACTTTTGAATTAAAAAAATAATTAATATTTTATTTTTAATTTTTAATTTTTGTCATGGTTTGGTAATGTTACACTATGTAATTATGTTGCAAAAATGAATATAACAAATTTTAATAATGAGACAAAATATCTTTATTACATTTTTCAAGTAAAAAAACGCTTATTTATACAAAACATTTATCATATCAGTAAAGTACCTTAACCCAAGTAGTATAATATATTATATAAAAAAACATAAGTTCTTAAATTAATTTAATATTTTAGATGGGAAGGTTTACACAGATTTGGGATAAAAATAAACTGTTATCACTTTTAAGAATTATTGTACAAACTTTAAAAATGAATTAATAATTTTTGTGAATCAGTGTAATAGAAAAAACTAATAAATAAAAAACTAAATAAGTATTACTCAATACACATATGATATATTTATTAAAATATTTGTCGGCTTTTTCATATGAATTGTTACATAACTCGATAATATCTTAATTTTTTGATAGAACAATAACAAAACATAAGAGAATAAGCTAAATAACTAGTGTTTTTTGTGATGGTAAATTAATTAAATAGTTTGTCATATAATCATTAATATTTTACAATAAAAAAAAAAAAAAAAAACATACTTTCTTAAATATAACTTTATGAGATCACGTAATTTATTGAGTAACCAAAAAATACAAGTTTAATATTATCATAGTTGCTTAACAAATATTTTTGTAATAGTTAATTTAACAATCTATGAACATCTCTCATTAATTACCGAAATTAATTAATACTTCGTACATAAGTTGTAAAATTCATCGACTCGACAATGCTATAAAATATTTAATATAAATTCATGAATGCTGCTATTGTTAGGAATAACAATAATCGATTAAATACACATAATTTACAATAAAATGTTCGTACACATTGTAACTAATTTGAGCATTACATTTTCCGTTGTGCAAAAGAATTCTTTAAGTTATCACAAACACAACAGCTATCACTGCGGAAAATCGTTGAACAATATTTTCATGGATAGCAACCTTCACATAGCTCGAAAATTAAAAAATTTCTATCGTCTAAGCTTTTAGGCTCATATAAACTTTGTTTGGTAATTAACGAGACAACATATTTACTTTAGTAAATTTAAACCACTCATAATACATAATTATGCGGTTTGCTCTTAATATATTAGGTGGGTGCTTTAAATTGTTACAATTCCAAGAAAGATTTCTAAATTGACTTAAGTAGACTTTGTTAAAATTCCATTTGACGGTTATGCTCCACCCAGGTCTTGGACACTTCAGTAATTAGATTAAGAATTCCTACACGTCAAGTGATTAGAATTTACCGTAACTCAATATTACTATCAACATCTCTCAACTTTGAGATAATTATTTGATAGTCATTTAACACGAATAATATTAACAATATCATGTTTTGTGTGTTGTGCGAGTTGATTTTTACAGCGTGAGAGTGGCGTTGGCCGCATCGTTGGCCGTCCACGTCACAGGCGCCCACGCGGGTCATATACTCAACGACGGTCGTTTCTTCCTGTCCCTTTTGCTGCTGTTCTTGCCGAATATCGTACCTAATACTTTAGACACGCTGTTCACGCCTAACTTGCGCCTTATTGGCAATCCTCGGAGCAGCTGGACGGCCCGAGTCTCTCGCAATAACGAGTGGAACGCCAGAGACACTCCGGCAAAGTTTTCAGCAGCGCTAACCTCGTAGAACTGACATCCGAACCGCAGTGACAGCTCCTGGCCAGCGTCCACCGCAACACACCTGCGAGACAAAAATAAGATTAACGTTTATAGATCATTTTTGTGAATCGCTTATCTATATTATGAACTTGTGTTTTTAATCATAAAACTAATTTTAAAAGCCAAAGTCTACTTTAACCTTTGGACTATACACATATGATTGACTTGAGGCAACCAAGCGAAGAGCGACGTAACAGTGGAGAACGCCTAAAAACATTTTTCCAATAAAAGTTCATCAATAATTTTCACTCTCATGAAATGTAAACATAAGACAAAGTCTTACGTTCGGGTCATTTTCCAATAAAATAAATCAATAAAGACACGTTGCATCAGACTTAAAAATTATAAAATGGAGTCTAAAAAGTCAAAAGTATATTTGAATGAAATAATATAGCGCAATAAAGGAGAACATCAAATAAAAATAATATATTAGTATTTAAGGGCCTGTAAGTGTGATAAAAAGTTTTCATTTTCTGTCAATACAAATTTATAAGAATAATAATAATCCGCTATTTTACATAAGAGTTTAGTCATGTGCTCAGGTACGAACATAATTTATAAAAAGGAATTGGTGTTTGTTTTCCTCTTTGTAATTAAATATATTAACAAATGAGTAACGATATGGTATCAAAGAACAATATTAGAAGACAATGGTGACGATTTTTCGATGCATGACGATTTTTCAACACGTGCATTGTGTACAGATGACACATACACACAACACCATAATTATATAAACTATACGGAGCGGAGAAAAACACAAAAATCCTACCGGTTGGGTTCGTTTCTCGGGGCTACTGATATCGTAATGTCTATTTATTCCGTTCGTTAAAAGCGTTGACACTTCGTCGTGTGTCATCTTACACATGTGCAACTGCTCGTAAACGTAACTGTACATGGATATTACAAATCTATTCACGATTCCAAAGCACATATGGCCATCCCCCTTTTTCTGTGTCCCCTTCAAAACTATATAAATATTTTATTTAGATATAAATGTGTGCTCTAAGACGTAACCACAAATCAAATAGAGAGCTACACCGTTGGACAAAGAAAAAAACATTAATTAAATACGTACCTGGAATGGTCCAAGTCTCTTTTGTTGCCTAATAAGAGAGTAGCGAAATACGATGGCAATTTGAGCTTTGACAGTTTATCCAGAAGGTCTTGTGCTTCGATGAAACTCGACCAATCTACTACACTGTAGACTATGACGAACGCATCTCCCCACCGGATGTGATCGAATAGACATGTGGTCTGTAACAATTATAATTATTTCTGTTGAAATCTAAATACACAAACTGTAAGGATATTATTTCGAAGACTGACAGATTTTTCACACGATCGATAGTTTTTTTTTAATAGCACACTGACCAAATTTACATGTTATCAAAAATGAACATTAAAAATTTGTTAAACGGTACCAATTTTCTAAATACTGTATCTCCAGAAATCACTTAAAATTAATATTTTGTTTTTTTAATTATACCATATTTAATTAATTAAAATAATGATAATATCATAAACTATAGTTGAATTACAATTTAATTAATCTAACTAGGATTATTACTCAAATGTGTAATCAATCATCATTAATACTATTATTTTTTTGTTAAAAATTAACTGGCATATGTCGCATGTCAATTTTTTTGTTTCTCCTATGATAGCTACCACACGAATCGTTAAGTAATTGCCTCCTACAGATAACTGTTATTGTATTATCATTGACGAGACCTATTGTATGCGATTATCAAATGCGTATTTAATTAAAGAAACAATAACAATTGATATGATTTTCGGTCTGTATAAATCACGAGTACATTACCTATTGTTCAATTTGGTCAAATTTATTGTGCACGATGTGAACAGTTAAATGATTAGCTTAGAGCGAAAATAATTTTGGTAGTTTCAAAAAAAAAAATTGTAAGCACAACAATAATTGAATAAATAAAAAAAATTCATCGAATTTCATCATTTTTATTAATATATTCAAGTCCTTAGAAATGCTGAATACAAGATTTTCAACGGAATGAGACCTTAGGAAATTAACGTACCGTATTATGTTATTAAACTATAAAATTTAAGTCATTGTTTAATAATTCTCTTTGGCCCGTCGCGTATGAGGATTTATTAGGAAAACAAATTTTTGTCAAGGTAATGATTACACTTTAAAAAGTACGTGCTTCGAAATTGGGTCAACTTAATTTTGTGTTATTCATATTAGATAATTTTATGTTGCATTATTGTTTCATCAAAAACACTTAAGAATACTCGCTCCAGATTTCTTACCTTAGTAATAATTTGTTATTCGACGAATTACAATTTTATCGACGACCCCTTCAATTATGTGAATATTATAAAATTTAAGTCAACGATCAAGTTGTTTTATAGTAAACGTATACGATAATGTCAGTAAGCTATGGGAATAGCGTTTAAACAATTTAAAAATACTATTTATTTTACATAGAGTATTTTTCGAGTCTTCGAAATTTCTATCTTTTCGCTATATTGACAAAATACTCATAACTAATCAATAAATAATAGTAATTGTTAAACTGTATAACACTGATACAATATTTAAATGTACGGAATAATAGAAAATCGATGCAATAGATTGATTCTTGATAATGAATCAAATGCAATACATAATTTTACTTTTCTATCATCTAAAAAATAAATTGATAAAAGATTTATGTAAAAAATTAGTTTTCGAGATTGAAATAAGTACTTCACTATGACTTCTTTATAATACACAATTTATATAAGTATTACTGTATTTTATGGTCTACTATTCTGACCAAGCATTTACCCTCACGGTAAAGTACCTAGAGATCGTGGGATGTGAAACAAAAGTAATTTGACTATCACTTTACACAATAATTTACGACCTTCACTCTGTTCATGGTAATCACCACAATAAACGATTTAAATTTAAATTGCGACGTAAAATTCATCTGCATAAGTATACGACACTTATTACAATGTTCTTTGTAAAATTTACTAAGACACTTCTATTAATGCATCAGTTCATCCGACAAGAGTTTGTCAATATTCAGTCTATTCTATTTCATTTTAAAATTACCTTATAAGAAATTTTATAGTTTTTTATACTAAATAATATTTATTATATTAATTATTGAATTTTCGTGTTATTTTCCATCTGAATGGAACTGCGACATTGACAAAATGAATAAACCGACAGTCTAGTTTATGATCGACCATTGAGTTGACTGTTATCAATGGCCGTAAGAATACAAACGTGTTTGTATGAGCAAATGTAGTGACCATTGGCGAGGTCATAAATTGGACTTTATGAATAAATCATTAAAAAAATCCAATAAAGCTATAAGAAATCTTACGACGCAATAAAAATACAATCAGAACGTTATTATTATACTGAAATGATGAGCGCCGTGTGCACAATAAAATCGTCTTGCGTTATCCCCCGTGACAATGTATTGTCAAGGTACATCCCATGTCCTCGGGTTCCTATGGCGGATGTGTAGCGACAAAATTACTTTTGAGAATTTAAAATCGAAAAAAATTATATAGTGACCGCTGCCGGCGACTCGTTAATGAAACACGCGCGTATGAAAAGACACGTGTATATTCACATTGTTTATTTATTTTTTTTCTTGTCTAGTCTTGTTTGTTAATTTTAATCAGTAGCTATGTGTGAATACGTTGTATTTTACATACACGCCTTATGGACTGAAAGAAATCAACAACAAGGTATAACACTGACCGCCTCCGTTGGTAATGTGATTGATCAATATTAATTGTCACACGTATTATTCCAAGGCAGACGTTATTCGGGCGACCTTCTTGCCATTAGTCGGCAATAGTTGTTACTTTTTATTACAACGAAAACAATATACCGACTACAGTATAAGGTTCAACGACAAATGTTATTCTTCCGACGGTTTTTTGAGGTTCTTCCTGGATAAATCTGCGTCCTACGCGAAACCTCGTCCAGACTTTTGTGCATTTATATTACTCATTTGACTACAAAGTTAAAATTTGTCCAAACTTTCCGAGTTGTAAAATGTCTAGACGCAAACTTTAAGTCGGTTTTAAACGTTCGCATAAGGCTATATATATTAATTTTAACCACAGGAGTTTTTTTTTAATGGAAAACTTACGAATAACTTCGACTTTTAGAAGCTTAAAGGAAAAATAAATTTCACAGAGACTTCGTGTAACTAGTACGATGAGTTTAATGTGTTTATACTTTTCTCGAATATGGACACTCTTTTATTCTAAAATAATTAAACGTGAAATATATAACTTACTCGGGCTCGTATTCACTCTCATACAAATATGTGATTCCAGTAAATTACAAATATAGAACATGTTTCCAGTAGAAAAATGAGGTTTCAATGTTAACCGTATAAATTTCAGGTGAATCGTATTATTTCTATAAGTCGGCAAAAATGTTTGATTAAGGAAAAAATTGTACAGCGACCAAAAATAACTATAAAACTTTACAATACAATACAACTAAATTACTATTAAAAATACATTTTTTAAAAAGGACACGTGAAATTAAACGTGGTAGCAAAAAAAAAAAATATAACTATTAAAAGTTATTGAAATACTTTGTTTATTTTAATCGAATTTATTTTATTGAATTTTTATACATCATTTTTAATGTTACCTCTCAAAAGTTTGAAAATCAATTACCTTAACTTTCAAGTAGAAACCTTTTACAATATTATTTTTAAGTGAAGCCGCGATACAATTTCACTAGGTCAAGGCACTTCATTTCCATCTGATGCAAACCTATCAAAACTTTATAAAAAAAATAGTACATTGTACATTTATACACGTGTCGGTCAAATCAATGTCCATTCATTTACTCGAACTGTAATTATAGACTATTTTCGGATGCTCTACGCCACAACAAAATAATATGATTGATTAACTCGGTAAACATGAATAGAGCGATTGCACAAGCCTCACGATTTTTTATTTTAAAATAGATTGAAATACAACTGTCATAACTGGTAGTTGTTGCACATGTATGTAATTACTAATTACTAATTGCCTATGTAGTAATTGTTGATGCTACATAGAAGCAATTTGAACTAGAACTCATAGTTTGTTCTCTTTATAAATAAAAGTTAAAAATTGTATTAAGCAAATGTAAACGTGCCGCTCTGAAATTTTATAAGAAAAATTTCAAGATAAAGTTTAAGTCAGTTTTTAATAGATTTTACAGAAGATGATTAAAAATCGACAAACAATTTATTATTATTATTTAATCGGATTGTAAAGTTTTTATTTTTTTAGACCAGGTAAACTGCATTGTAAACAATAAATTGTTTGACCTCTTGTGTTACGAATTTCATGAGTTACATATTAATAACAGTTTATTATTGCGATATGTGTAGATTTTTTTAATTGACACCCGTTGATCAAACAAAATACATACACGTAACTAATTACAATAAATAGTAACACAATTCACTACTATCGCATTAATAATCAGCTGTAATACTCGTTTTAATGCATTTCATTGAAAATCAATGGCTCGTCAAAATATTCCTTTCAATAAAGTGCTGACAGAATGTGTATTTTTACAAGAAGTATACATTTTATAAGCCTCAAATATATTAATAGGAAAATTTAATATAATACCTAAACAATTGTTCGTCGCGCGTATGATAATAAGTGTTTTGTGTCATTTAAATCAAATTTGACTCTTTAATTAATTTTCTAAACAACTGCATAAGTTGATTATGATTCAAAGAATAATACGAGAGTTAAAACGATATACTATAATATATACAAATATAAAAAGTAAAATTATGTTTCATAAATTCTGAGCATATCTCAAGCCCGAGGCCTATTTATTGGACAATTCATTCATAAACGGCGAAAACTTTCTCTTGGACGATGTGAAGGTCTTATTCGAGATCATCGTCGGCTTTCAGTATTACACCCGCGTAATTCCTCTACTCGGCATGATTACATTGTATTGTATTGTATTATTTATTTATATAATAATAACGATACTGCACCCAAATAATAATAGCATAAATATTATAATATTAACGTTCAGTATCTCGTCAAAGATTACACTATTTTTTTAAGGTACTTTTACATTCTGACATTTATTTTAATATTTTAACTCATATTATTATTTTCTAACACGCGTGGGCGTTAAAGTAACACCACTATACATCGGAATGTATAGATTTATAATTAAAAAAATAATATGAACGCTTATTGAACTACCAATAAGATATTTTTAC